AGGGATAGAATAATAGTTCCAATAGCTCCAGATAGAGATAGTACATCAGTTCCATTAGTTCCAGATAGAAATGTAACAACAGTTCCAGTAGCTGTAGATAGAGATAGCACATCAGTTCCAATAGCTGTAGATAGGGATAGAATAATAGTTCCAATAGCTCCAGATAGAGATAGTACATCAGTTCCATTAGTTCCAGATAGAAATGTAACAACAGTTCCAGTAGCTGTAGATAGAGATAGCACATCAGTTCCAATAGCTGTAGATAGGGATAGAATAATAGTTCCAATAGCTCCAGATAGAGATAGTACATCAGTTCCAGTAGTTCCAGATAGAAATGTAACAACAGTTCCAGTAGCTGTAGATAGAGATAGCACATCAGTTCCAATAGCTGTAGATAGGGATAGAATAATAGTTCCAATAGCTCCAGATAGAGATAGTACATCAGTTCCATTAGTTCCAGATAGAAATGTAACAACAGTTCCAGTAGCTGTAGATAGAGATAAAACAATAGTTCCAATAGCTGTAGATAAAGATAAAACAACAGTTACAATAGCCGTAGATAGAGATAAAACAACAGTTCCAATAGCTGTAGATAGAGATAAAACAACAGTTCCAATAGCTGTAGATAAAGATAGCACATCAGTTCCACTGACAGTCAGTAAAACAGGGAACATTAAGAAAATTCTATAGCAAGTAACATAGCTTACAGTTGATAATGCATAACAGGAAACACTAAGAACATTCTGAAGCAGTAACATAACTGTCAGTTATGTAGAATAGGACATACTGAAAACATTTTGTAGCCATGACAATAATTAATAGGATGAAATGCAGTGTCTAAAACAGACATACCAGTTACAGTGACTGATAGTTAAGTAAAGTAGAAACACTAAATATAATCTTGTATCAGTGATAGCAACTGACAGTAAGTCATATAAAGTGGAAAACGATAAACACATTCTGTTACAAATACGGTAACTAACAAGTGAAATGTCATGCAGTTTGAAAACCATCAAACAAACATTGTCTCTTGTGGCACTAACAGGCAGTTGTCACAAGGTACATACTGTCCCTTGAAGTACTATCAAACATTTAATGTGTCACAATGTACACATTATACCTTGTAGTTGTATCAGACATCTAAAGCATCACATTGTGCAAACTGAACCTTGCAGTACTATCAGATATCTAAAGTGTCACACTGTGTAAACTGTGCTTTGCACCACAATAAGACACAATATGTCACACTACCTTACAGCATAATCAGACACACGAGGTGTCACAATGTGCAAACTGTATCTTGCAGAAGCGTTAGACATCTAAGGTGTTACGCTTTAGAAACTGTACCTTGTAGCAGAAGCAGACACATAAGGTGTTACAACATATACAATGTGCCTTGCAGCAGAAGCAGACACATAAGGTGTTACAATGTGTACAGTGTACCTTGCAGCACTAACAGGCATGTAAGGTGTCATGGCATGCAACTAAAATAAATCCAAAAATAATTGAAATTTCAAAAACCCAATGGATATGTGGCATTTAGGAACGAAAAATTGTTATAAAGAAGAGCAAATGATTTTTTCTTCTTTCTGTGCTTAATGTTAATATAAATTATTCCTTTTGATATATGGCTGAAAGGTGTAAATTTTTAATTTTTCAGAAGCTACATCGGGATAATAAAAAAAAGAGTAGATCGGCAAACAAATTAAAACAATCTTCATAAAATTGACAGCTTGCAGTTGAAATGTGTGTCAATGACATTTCAACATGAATCTTAGGCCAGGCTATCATTAGGTTCAGGCTGTTATCACTTCCATTGTATAAGAGCCTTAGTCTTTACAAGTACAATACACAGAAATTTTAAAATCAATCCAACCACAGTAAAAAAGCATTATATAACATCACAGCTAACTGTCACTATAGTAACATATCAAATTACTACAGAATTCACAGATTCAACACCAATTAAATGTACAATAAAATTGAGTGACCCACCTTTTCAATACATGTACAATATCACAATTCACTTACAGCAAATGTTTTCTTGGAGACTGAGTTTGTGTTCTTAATCAAGCAAAGGTTTTCTTACCAAGATTAAGTTTGTGTTCCTAATCAAGCAAAGGTTTATTCCTGGAGATTAATTCTGTATCCCTAATTTTCACGTGAAGTTGCACTGACAACTTAAATGTCCAAAATTGACTGAACCATTGAGTGGAGATTAGTAGAAATACCTTCATTCTCATTTCACTCTTGTGCTTTGTCCTAAAAAAATATATATAAATGCACATATGTATTAGTAGTAATACACCAAACACCATTAAACAGCATCTGATCCACATTATAAGAAGTTGTGCTCATAAAGAAAGATAAACATATTTTATCATATTACTTATGAACATTTTATATTCATAATTATCTTTAGAGACTAACCTAACCCACACTGTTCATTTTTATGTTTAGTTTAAAAGCTAACATAAAAGTAATGGCTATAAAACAGTTAAAAACCTTTGTGAAAGTTCAAATTCAATTAGATGTGAAAAAGGAGTAACTCTTGCACAAACAGTTAGAAGTTTAAATAACTCAAAGTGGTTGAATGTTGCTAACATTAAGGATGACACAAATTCTAGAATTATGCTCTTGCAATAAATCCAGGTTAATTTTTTTCGTACACCCAATAAATCAACTGGAGGTTAAAACTAGAAAGATTTCTGCTCTAAAACAGTTTAATTTGTGGCTTAACATCTTAATAACTAGGTCTTTCGTAGCTCTTCACTGCAGCAAACTAAGCAAAATCAACAGTTTACTACATGTAGTAAGCTACTAAGTTGTACAGAGGGTTGAGTATATTATATTAAAATGATTTTGAATGTGTAAATCAGCAAGCCATGTGACAACTGATATAATGTTGTAGTGCATGGAATTTACATTGTTTGGTGCCAATAAAAATTGATTACTTTTGGGAAGTGTATGTAACAGCCATTTCCAATGAAAGGTATCCACACACTCAAATCACAAACATCTGTTCCGGGATTTAAAATTTCCAAGATGGGAATATCCTTGAACTTAATTCCATTGGAAAACAAAGAAATAAGGATCAAATTGAGTCATGAGAACCATCCAGAAAGAGACCTGCAACATGTTGTCAGTAAAAGTACAGCATTTTATAACATGCAAGGATTCACAAACACAAAAGTGATAAAAGGATGTACATGTGGAGGAACATATCATGTTTACACAAGTTACTTCCATGACATATTTGTTCAAATTCATCATACCTCAAGCAGCTGGAGATAAAATGGGTGTTATTTCACATAAAGACAAAGTGGTTAAGCCACTGGATCCAGAACCCACACATATCTGTATGAACAAACTACTAAACAGGCAGTGAAAAACTGTCATCTACATACCTCAGATGGCTTATGGAGAGCAAGCTGGAAGAATGGGTGTGCTTTAGACATGAAAGTTTCATAATCAAGCATTTTACAGTGGAAACTACACAGCATGTCTATTTAAAATATGCATGGTCATCAGGTAGAGCATAACTGGATGTGATGACATGGACTCATTAATCATTTTAATATAAAGTACTCAACCTCACAGTGATATAATAATATAGCCATGACTACTTCATAGCTTTTTTGTATCTTTATAAAACTTAATGAAGCACTAGTAAATGCAATGAAATTGAACAGAAGGAAAGAGGGAAGAAACTAGTAACATGGATATAAATTTAAAAATGAAAGGACATATGGAAACAAATACAGATTATTAGCATAAGAAAGAACATGCACATAAGAAGTAAACAAACATATTTTAATATTATTATTGATTTGTAGAAGTCTCATGAATCTGGTTCAGTTTTTTTTTTTTTCTTAAGATTGTGGTAGAAAATACTGAAAGAAAAAGAGAAGTAATGGTGAAAGTGAAAAAGCAGTCTTCTTTCTTAAAACATATGTCTAACTGAAGAGTTTGCAGTACAAGCATCATAAACCTTCAAAATGCATGCAGGGATAAAAAGAAGCATGTAACAAACCTCTACAATGACCCATCCATTTAAACAAGTTGATAGACTTGCTTTTATCATTCCATTCTTTTATTGTTCCATTTTATAGTAGCTGGTAGTGAACGACTTGTTTCATTTGTAGCAGTCTGTGTGAAGAAGTCATCATCAAAAGGATTAGTTCTTCTCTCAAAGATGCTCGGAGTATCTATGGTTGGTGACTTATTTATATTATTGGAGTAATGTAGTTTTTTATCACTTCCATATAAGTTAGGTGAATCACTGGTATCCAACAAAAGTAATGAAGGGTGTAAAGGGTCTGACAGAGATGAAAAACATTTATGAATTTCAACACATGGAGAACTATTTATGTTCACAAAAGATGATGGAGAGTCAGTGTGGCCTTCATAACGTGAGAGAGAGCTATTAGCTCTTGCACAATGAGGTTTGATACCTACAGCATTTTCACAGAAATCAGAACTATGTTGGAAGTCAGGAGTATTAGCTTCAGATAAAGTTACCGCATTCTCTGTCCTGCTAAAGGACTCTGTCCCATTTATAGCACTTAGACTAGCAGACTTGTTCAGAGACTGAGGCCTGGGGGGTAAAGGGGGTGGGGTTGTTGTGGCTACAGTAAAAACTGCATTAGGATATTTACCATCTTCAGATTGAGAAATATTAAGTTCTAAGTCAAAAGCAAATTTTTCTTTTTTCAACATTTCTGAGTCACTGATGGAGTAGGATTCCGATTCTTTACTATTCAAATCTTTATTTGGAAAAGAAACTTCTCGAAGCTTTTCTTCCCCTGAAACTAGTGTTGCTTTACCTGAATCTCCTACAGCTATTAGTCTTTGTGGAAATGTTGGAACGGATATCCTTTCTGGGATTACTGGAACTGATGTCCTCTCAGGAACTAAAGGAAGTGATGTTCTAGTTGGAAGCACAGGAACCATTGTAATTGATTTTTTGTCATAAAATGTGGAATTTGTCTTATATGGAGCTATTGGAACTGTTTTCCTATCTTTATCTAGAGCTATTGGAACTGTTGCCCAATCTCTTTCTGGAACTACTGGAACTGTTATGCTATCTCTGTCTGAAGCTGAGAGAACTATTGTGCTATCTTTAGCTATTGGAACTGTTGTTTTATCTCTATCTGGAACTACTGGAACTGTTGACCAACCTCTTTCTGGAACTATCGGAACTGATGTGCTATTTCTATCTGGAGCTATTGGAATTGTTGTTACATTTCTATCTGGAACTAATGGAACTGTTGTTTCATCTCTATCTACAGCTATTGGAACTGATGTGCTATCTCTATCTAGAGCTATTGGAACTGATATGCTATCTCTATCTACAGCTATTGGAACTAATGTGCTATCTTTATCTACTGGAACTGATGTGCTATCTTTATCTACAGCTATTGGAACTGTTGTTTTATCTCTATCTACAGCTACTGGAACTGTTGTTACATTTCTATCTGGAACTACTTTATGTTACTGCTACAGAATTTTCTTAATGTTTCCTGTTTTACTAACTGTCAGTCATTTTTCTGCTACAGAATGTTAATGCTTCCTGTTTTACTGACTGTCAGTTATGTTACTGATACAGAATGTTAATGCTTCCTGTTTTACTGACTGTCAGTTATGTTACTGATACAGAATGTTCTTAATGTTTCCTGTTTTATTGACTGTCAGTTATTTTTCTACAACAGAATGTTCTTAATGTTTCCTGTTTTAATGACTGTCAGTTATGTTACTGCTACAGAATTTTCTTTATTTATTGTGCTATACATTACTGACTACAAGTTATGTCACTCCTACAGAATGTTCATAATTTTCCTGTTTTATTGACTGACTGTCAGTTGTGTTACTGCTACAGAATTTTCTTTATTTTTTGTGCTCTACATTACTGACTACAAGTTATGTCACTCCTACAGAATGTTCATAATTTTCCTGTTTTATTGACTGACTGTCAGTTATATTACTGCTACAGGTTGTTACATATTTTGTCCTCTGGAAGTTAAGTACTAAAATATGTCCTGAAATCATTGAAAACTTTTCATGGTGTATAAGTTGAATTTTATCTGTTTCTTAACCTTAGCCAGAAAATATAAATCAAACTTTCCCTCATTTTTTCCCAACAGGAATTCTCTACTTTTTTACATTATTGTGCCAACCTGAAATATTCCTAAATATTTTTACAGAAAGCTTTAGGTAATATGTGATTCAGGTTCTGATTATTAAATTATAAGTTTAGGAATAAGAAATGATTGAAAATGTGTGATGTTTTGAAGGTTTGCTACTTTGTCTCCAGAGTAGCTACATTAGTTTTCAATAAAGTGTTTTATTCACAGTTTAAAGTTGTTCTTTTTTCAGTAGATGTGATACAGCAACTTCATGTTTGAAGGTAACTTTCTTATCCTGTTCTGACTCCAGCTGTAATGATGGATCTATAGGTTCTTCTGAGCTTTTATTTGTATCTCATAATATCACAGAGTAAATTATGATACAATAACTTACCTCCTCTTTTCTCGTTCATTGCTGCCCTTGATATGCACAAATTTTTCACTTGCCACTAGCCTTGATAATTCCACCTACCCCACATGTTTGACGTGGTAGCATGGGAATAAGCATGCAACAACCCTCCACCAATTGGAGTGTGATACACACTCCTGGCCCAGCTGGCTCCCTTTATACTGTAGAACCCAATCTTCACTTCTCAATTTGGCAATTTAGCATGAAGAAATCTTGGTAGTTTGCTCATGTTTGATTTAGAATTTTAAATTTATTAAACAACTTTGTTGTTTCTGCTTTTTTTTCTACAGTTAATCTCAAGTTATTCTAGGTTGTTAATTTTGTCTCCACTCTCAGTTGAACTATGAATTCCAAATTTCAAATCACCACCTCAACCTGCAGTTTATCAGGCTTGTCTTCCTAGAAGTTTACCTTCAAACTTGGCTCCTCTATTGTTGGGATCTCATGCTGTTAACTAACATGTACCTACCCATGTCTTATTTACAGGTCTTATGTATTGTCTCAATTTTTACATTGAGCAGTTTTTGGAGATTTTCCCAACTCTTTGAAGTCCAGGGTTTCTCACCTATTGCAGCCTTTGCCTACTCCCATTCCTGTTTCTTGCCCTCCACCTTCTTTCCCTTTGTCTGTTCTTCTTTCCAGGTCTTGATGGCTATCTCTTAAATTATTCATCACCGGGCCCTCTGCCACCAACAGTACTGGTAATTATTCCATTGGTTGTGGCAATGTCAGAGCACATTTAGCTATAGGTGTTGCTCCCACATCCCATCTCTTCCTCACCCTCCTTGAGATCCTATTCCTTGCTAGCTTCTCACCAAAGTGGTTCAGGCTCTTTTTCTCAAGGCCACTATAGAACCTGTCAGTCATCCTTCTCCAGGGTTTTATTCCAGGTTGTTCGTAGGTCCAAAGAAGACCAGGGACTGGTATTCTACTATATATCTTTCCCATCTCAACCGTTTCATTGACCTTTCTTGTTTAACCTTGCAGCCCTTTTTCAAATCAGATACAACAAAGTACTATGTGTTCAGTCTAAGATTAAATACTACTTTTTTTTTCAATAAATGTAAATATATATATTGTTATGTATCTGCTTGTTTGTTAATTTCCCTTAGAAATTCTTTCCGAGAAACTTCAGCAATGCAATTCCTTTCTTAATTTAAA